CATATATTCCACTCTCATTCATACCATACCCAATACATATCATACCATCCCCATACCCAGACTCTCACTGATACCATCCTCCACCCAAACAGGCTGATGTTCTCATAGCACTTCACAAACACACCATTTACATACACCTGCACTCATACTCACCCCTCCCAAATACAGCCAATGTCTCACATACATATCTTACCCAGAAGCACCCAGAGTCTCTTACATACACACAATGCAGATCCCTTCTCTCCCTCTCTCTTTTCATTCTCTTACCAAATATACCACCTTCTACACACACACACACCACTCTACCCAGATATAGCTTTACTCATACATACACATTGACATCTAGATTTCTGCCTTGACGGGATAATTTGGGTGCTCTCTATGAAAACCATTTACCAACCTTAGACAATACACTACACCCACATTTTGTCCTGGGCCTTCAATGGTGGGGGGATGGGAAGAGAGATCTTTGTGTTTCAAGAAATTCTTTTCTAAAAGGTCACAAGGTCCCCTTCCCTAAGAGGACTTCAGTCCCTAAGAGGACATCAGCCATGATTAGTTCCCATTTCTTGAGTGTGAATGACAGGAATTATCCTGAGACACCCCCCCCCAAAAAGCCCAGCATATGGTCAAGGCCAAAGAGGCCCCAGAAGAGGGTCATGGATTGCTCAGATGTTAAAGCTTGCCATCCTGTAGGATGTCTACACAGAGCCAGCTATGGTCTAGCAGGGTGCCATTGGTTCTCAGACATGCACATAAACACATGCTGGGGTGTACACACAGCATCACACAGACTCTTAAGTACCCTCCTTTATCACTTTTTCAGTAATTAGGCTTATCAGGGTAGGCCCAAGGCCAAATCTCTCTGACACACACATACCATCAGACAGGCACATGCACAAATACCTACACTTAGGCACACTCACATTGCACTTAGTCCTACATGTGCATTTCCACTTACCATCAAACACAGGCATACATGCATGGCATACACTCCCGTGACATAATGCCCATGAAGGACATACATTCACTCACAAACACAGGTACACACACAGGCATACTTCCACATGTCCACAGATGGATAGACTCTACATCACACCCAAAGAGACAATGAACAAACATGACACACAGAGGTGAGCTCCCAAATGTATACACACACACACACAACCAGACATGACCACATAAACATTTTCATACACACTCACATGTGGGTGTACTCACACACAAAACACCCAGATGTGCACATGCTTGTCAGTGAGATGATGTATTCATATACAGACATTCTAACACACATAGACATATACACACAACAGGGCATGTGTGCCTGTGACCATATTCACATACACATAGATATGTACATCATTCATTCCTATATGCACACAACCAGACATGGAGACACAAATGTACTTACAAAACACACTCACACAATCACAATAAGATATGCACACCATGTACATTCCCACATGTTCATACACCCTTATGAGAAGCTATGCAAACAAAAGAACATTCATTTATACTTATATTCTCAGAAAGACTTGCACAAAAAGGTTTGTTCACACACACACGGAAGAACAGTCATATATTCTCACATACTTGTACATCTGCACAAGAAGAATTGATAATACTTTTCACACACACACTCAAACACACTTAGAGACCAAAAGTGGCATGCACATACATTCACTTACACTGTTCTAGAATACATGTTCCAGAATAAACACAAATACACATATACAAATAACTGGAACTACACAAAGTGGTACATTCATATACTTGTACATTCAGACTGGCACACACAGGCATATTCACACATACATATTTAGATGTGTGTGAACACATGGGCAAATATACAGATGTGTTCACTCAAATGCACACACAGTCATATGTTCACACCTGCTACCATATACTCACATATACACTCACAGTCACTCACAGGCATATCCATACTCACACATTCACTTACACTCAGAAATTCAAACAAAACACATATTGAAATATATGCATCAAATATTATGAAATGTAGTTACTCATGCATACCACAATCAGACTTGCACTCACATATAACAGTGTACCCACAAACACAATTAGACACGTACACAAATACATTCATTCACCTATGCACATAGCCATTTGCGCATATTATATACAGGCACAGACAACCCTCCAAAAGCCATACCCATATACATGATCAAATGTGTACACGTGGGCAAACCCCAAAATATATCTTCATGCACAAAACATGTATTCATACACTCCCCTCTACCCACACAATTAGTTCTTATACTCGTGTGACCATCTACATTAACAGTTTCCTAATCAGATGTGGACCCACAGGTCTGTCTACAGACAATATATACTTAAAACACATATACACAGACATACACATAATTTAAAATGCTGAAGAATCCACATGGGCATCAATACACTCATACATATACATGACAGACACACCCACACAGAAGCATGTTCACACACATACCCTCCCCTACATGCATGGACACACACTCACAAACACACCATTTAGATATACCTGCATTCATGCACACATAGGTGCACATGAATATACACAGATACAGCTAGACATTCACCCAACTGGGTATGCATACTTGAGCATTCTGAAACCCTCATACTTATATGTATACATGCATAGCATACATTCCCATGACAGTCTCTCCCCCCAGGGGAGCACAGACTTTTGCTTGCTCACCACTGAAGATATTGTTGTGATTCCCAGTTGGGAATAGAACATAATTAGACATGTACATTCAAGGATAAATTGACACCACAAATATACACAACTAGCCATTCAACAGGCCTGTTGGCTCACAGAAACACAATCTCACTCAGCCTCAAAATCGAACATGCCCATTTGCTCACCCAGACATGCAAAGTCATACCCATTCCCTTGTACACACACAAGGCTACCCATTCATTCACACACTTGCACACACCATCATGTGACCTGCTCACATACAGGCTCATATACATCCACAAACACATAGACACACAGACTCACACAGTTACATATATATACCCACTCTCAGGTCCAGATGCCTCTAAACCACAGACTGGGTCCTCTCTCTTCCACACCAAATGCTTCTTCAGAAAAGTCTACTCCATACCCCAAAGCCCCACCTCTCCCTACCCTCACCATGAGATCTTCTGGGTCTCAGATTTTCTCCTCCTCCTCCTACCCCTCCCCAGGCCTTAAAGACCTTCCTCCAGCCACCCACCCCTCACTCAATGTCCCACCACATCTCCATGCCCAGAAGCCAGTCAGCAGACCCCACTGTCCCCCACCCCAGTCCAGGCTCTAGGTTAGCAAATCCCTGGGACCCGTCCCCCATCAGACTGGCTGCTGCATGGGCCACACCCCAGCTCTACCCGAAGCCCTGTGATCTCAGAAGCTTCAGCCTTGTTTCCAGGCCCTGCCAACCACTGACCACAGGCCAAACTCTTGCCAAGTCTACCCTCAACAGGGAGACGCCTACATCACCAGGGCCAGGAATGCTGCAGGCTGCAAGCCAGGCCTCCGCTAGCTCATGGGGGCTCAAGCCTCTGTGTGTGTGTGTGTGTGTGTGTGTGTGTGTGTGTGTGTGCATGCACAGACAGGGGCAAGTGCAGGGAAAGGAGACTGGAATGGAGTGGGGGTGGGAGGCTCTGCCCATAGCCACGAGTCATCACTCTCTACAAAGGAAGACTGAGAACACTGAGCTGCTCCTGCCTCTCCTCCACCCCCCAACCCCCATTCGCCTACCTGCTGTCCTCCCTAGATCTCTGCCAAGGCCCTGGAGGAGAGGGGCCGGTCCCTCCTCCAAATAATCGATAATAATATTAATCATGAATAATCAGCAATATTGACCATGAGCTTTGCTGATACTGCTTCAGGGCCACTTCTATGCACATCCTTTATTTGTTTGCACGACCTCATTTAGTCACTACACACACATCCATGATGGGAGGGCTACCAGTCTCTTTGACAGATGGGAAAACTGAGGTTCAATAAGTGGCACACTCTCACTAAAGTTGCAGAGCTAGTAGTTGGGGGAAGTGTCCCTGGAGAATCCATGTCCTTCATGCACTAGGCTTCCCTGCCCCTCCAAACATAGAGACCACTGGCCACTGTGCACAAGGCCATAAGATCTGGGGGTCCCAGATACAACATGGGCATCTGAAGCAGAGATAGCCTTGGATGGAGGTTGGGACCCACACTGGGGTCCCTGCAGGTTGTGTGGCATGGTCCTTGCCCTCACAGAGCCACCAGGCAGCCTTGGGCCTGGACATGTTTCCCACCCCCACTTCACTTTCCCTACCAGTTGGGAATCACAGCAATATCTTCAGTGGTGAGCAAGCAAAAGTCTGTGCTACCTGTGGGGAGAGACTGGGGAAAGTAGAAAGGAAGGAAAGCAGGGAGAGAGGAAAGAAGGAAAGGAGGAGTGGGGGGTGGTCTGGGCTGGGTTCAGCTTCTCTGTCATGTCTACCCACCTGCCTGCTCACACACACAGACAGAAACACACACACTCTGCATGCAGGCCAAGGAACCTGGAGGAGAGTGGAGGAGGAGGGAGAGGGAGAGGGAGAGGAGGCAGCCGCAGGAGGCTGAGCCTGCCCAGGGTGCAGGCATCCAGGAGAGCACTGCCAGGCTCCCGGGCATGTCTTCCACAGCTAGCACACAACGGGACATTAACACAGCCTCATGCCCCAAAGCGACCATCATGATAAAAACAGATCCTGTGTGGGGAGTGGGGAAACAGGTGGTAGTTCCCTTTCTCATGGGACATTTGGGATTGGGGAAGGTGGAAATGGCTAGAGGACTCTCCAGGCTTGGGTGCCCAAGCAGTCCTTGTGATAGAACAGGGATGGGGGCAGGGTAGACACACTAACAGAGTCAGAGGGAGAGACAGAGAGCATGGCAGTGATGGAGACTCTGAAATATGTGTGGGGAGACAGAAGAGAAGTCTCAGCCCCCCATCCTTGCCAGAGGGATGCTGACTACTTACCTGGGCTCTCTCAGCAGGGCTGTCTTGGAATCCAGGGAGGGGACTCAAGCTGTCTCACCCAGGATAAATCACAGCCCAGGCCACATTGTGGGACCTTCAGTGATGTGGCGGCCAGTGACACTCCTGCTTCTGTTGCTGTGGATACAGCAGCTGGGCTGGTCTAAAACGCAGACATCAGGGGAAGCAAGCACCGAAGGGGTGCACTGGGCAGGGCTGGGGGCATTAAGGAATACCAAGTGGGCAGCACACAGCCTTGGGGTGCCCAGCTAGCTGTCAGGTGAGGGTCCAGGCAGGTGCTTCCCCCACTACACACTCGCACCCCCATCTTCACGCCACCTCCAAGCTGGGAGGGGGGCCAGCGCTGGCCCCTGCTACCCGTCTGCCCGCCTTGCTGCCGGTCCCTCCCTCCCCCCCGCCCCGTCTGCCTGCTGGCTGCCGCCTTTTGTCCTCAGAAGACACGGTCCCCGGTCCCCGCGGGGCCTCTGCCAAGCCTCTAGCAGATGCTCAGGGGCCGGGGCTCCTCTCAGGGAGCACTCTGGCCATGGCCTGGGAGAGCCCCAGATTGGGGGGCTCTCGTCCAGGCTCACCCCGCTCCCCAGGCCTGGCGGGGATGGGGAAGAGGTGCAGGTCCACAGCCAGAGGCAGCAGCAGAGGTGGTGTTGGGGAGGGGATGGACGCCAGAAAGAGGGGGTGGGGTGGAGAGAGAGGCTGGCCTGATAGCTGTGTCCCGGGTTTTAGATCCGGGTTGAGGAGGGTGGCTCAGAGCATCCGAGGGGGGGGGGGTCCTGATGCAAAACGGAGACACCGCGGCCCTGCCGGAGGGACGCTCCTGGCCTGGGAACCACCCCAGCTCATACAAATCCGGGTCCCAAGATGTTAGGGACACCCGGCCTGGATGGGGCAACAGTGGGGAGCTCAGGGCTTTAAACCGGACCCTATCTGGCCGGTCTGTCCCCCCTTTTCTCGATTTGCACGGTCCCTGCCTCAGAGGCGGGCGGGGGAGGAAGGCAGGCAGGGAGGGAGCGGGAGAGAAGGAGGGAGGCTGAGAGACTCCCAGCCGCCAGCCTGGTCCTCCCCGGGGCGGGGCGGGGCGCGGTGGGGGCTGGCAGGGATTGGGAGCTGCCGGCTGCCTGGCCGGCCGACTGGGTGGGGATGCTGGCGTGGCGACTGTGCTGCCCGGACAATAGCTGGCTGGGGAAGTCACACTCTGGCTTTTCGGAGATGCTTGAGGGAGGCACGCGTGGATGTGGGGAGAGGCGGCCAAGGGGCTGTTGAGAGAGCAACTCACCTGGGCTACAAGTGCAGAGGAGGCAAGGGTAGGGGTCCGGGGTCGGATCTGGGCTGAGAGGTCCTGGGGAAGTTTCTCGAAAGCTTTGGGATGGGGGTGGGAGCGGGGGATGCTTAGAGCTCTGCAAGGTAGAGCTCATAACCTCATTTAGAATGGGTTCTATGGGGATTTTCCCAGCAAGGCCTGTGGGCTGGTAGGGGGAGAGAGGAAGGGACCTACTCAGCTCTGAACAGCCCCTCTCAGGACACCTCCCGTGTCACCCCTACTTTCTCTGTGCCAGTAGACAGGCACACACTCATACTTAAGGCTGTGCTCCAGGACAGCAAAACAGGACAGGTGAGGAAAAACCTTAGTAGGCAGAGATCTGAGGACAAGGAAAAAATATTTCTGTCCTGAATGGATTCAACCGGGGCCAAATGATGCTTTAGTGGTTCGCTAATCCATAGCATTCCAAAACTCTGATTCTCTTGATATAAGCAATTTTCTTTTATTTGTTTCCTTCTCTCATCCATTGGCTCACCATTTCTTAAACATGGTTTTGTGCTAAGCCCTGTGTTGGGCACTGGAGATTCAGGTGGCTCAGACTTCCTCCCTGCCCTTAGGAAACCCTTGCTGTGCTACCAGACTGTGGTCCTGCAACCCACTCACATCTGTCCCCGGAGAGCTTGTGAAATGTGGGTCTCCAGACCTACTTCCCAGAAATACTAATCCAGGAGGTTTGAGATGAGGCTCCAAAATCTGTATTTTGACAAGGCCCTCAGGTGGTTATTTTTATGCCTACTGAAGTTTGGACACAGTGCTTTGCAGAGGGAGAAAAGCCCATGATTCAAGGATAAATTCAAAGTGGAAATTAGAATATATTTTGAACTGACTGATAATGGAAATATTACATTTGAAATCCTGTGGGGTGTTGCTAAGGCCATGTGCTTAAAACTGGAGAGCTTTAAATTATATATTATTTTTTAAAAGGTGCCAAATCCATCTCAAAAAACTAGAAAAAGGAATTGAAAGGAAGTAGAAGGAGAGAACTAACAGATAAGAGTAGAAATCGATGAAATAGAAAACAGAACTCTAACAGAGAGGATCAACAAAGGTAAAAGTTGGTTCTTTGAAAAAACTAGAAAAATGATAAATTGCTAACACTGATCTGGAAAAAATATATAGAAGGCACATATATTGTGTGTATATTTACATATATTGAATGTAAATAATCCCATAACTATTAAATAACTGAATTTATAATTAAAAAGCCTACTACAATCTTCAGACCCAGAGACTGTCAATGGTGAATTCTACAAAATATTTAAAGACAAAATGCACCAACTTTCTAATTTTACACAAATTCCTTCAGGGAATTGAGGAAAAATTGTATGATCATTTCAATAGATGCCAAAAAAGCATCGTGACAAAGTTTACCAAGAATATAAGGAAAATGCTTTACTTGAATACATGTCATCTACAAAAAACCTATAGCAAATACCACACTTAATGGGAGATGTTGAATGCTTTCCATCTAAGATTGGGAATGAGACAAGGATGCCCACCATAACTACTTTTATTCAAATTGTACTGGAGTCCTGGTTAGCGCACTAAAGCAAAACAAATACATACATACATATGGATTAGAAAGGAAGATATGAACGTACAACTTCATTAGTCAAGAAAATATGAAACAAATCAGCTCACTAAAATGATTAAAAAGAAAAAGACAATACTGAATGTTGCTAAGAATGTGGAGTGCTCAGAATTCTCGTTCAATGTTGATGAGAGTATAAATTGATATAGTCACTTTGGAAACTGCTTAGCAATATCCACTGAAGGTGATCATATGCACACACCATAACCCAGCAATCCTTTTAGGTATATGCCCAACAGAAATGCTTATATGTGTTTACCAAAAGACATACACAATAATGTTCCTAAAAGCACTATTTGTAATAGTCCAAACTGGAAATGACTCAAATGCTAACAACAGAAAAATGAGAAATGAATTGTAGCATATTCACACAATGGAATACTACACACCAATAAGAAAGAAATGCCCCACATCTACATACATAATGGATGAATTCTACAAACATTATGCTGAGCAGAATAAACTACACGCAAAGGAGCACCTGCTGTATGATTCCATGTAGCTAAAGTCCTACAACAGGTGAAACTAATCTATGGTGATAGACGTCAGACTCGAGATTGTCTTTCAGGTCTGAGTAGGAGGCCTGAGGAGACTTCTAGAGTGCTAGGAACGTTGTGTTTCTTGATTTCCATGCTGATTACATGGGTGGTTACTCAGGAACAATTCACTGAGAGCTGTGCATTTATGCCTCTTTGTACTTTTCTTTACCTGTGTTATACTTGAAGACAAAAAAGTTTTTAAAAATGAAAAAGTAAAATAAGCAGTCAGATTGTTTCAGCCTAATGAGGGGCAAAGGTGGGAACTGGGAGCTGTGGGAGCTCAAGGGAATCAGGGGCAGTGTGGGGAGAGCTGCTAATACCCAAGTTAAGTGTGGGAGAAGTGAAAGTGAGTTGGAAGAAATGTAAGAAACAATACAGTGCAGTGGCTAAGAGCACTTACTCTGGCTCTAGGCTGCTTGGATTTGAATCCATGCCTCTTACCCTTCTTGCACCTCAAATTCCTTATCTGTTTAATAGGGTCATAATGGTGCTTACAGCATAGGGTTGTGAGGATAAATGAGGTAATATTTGTAAAGTGTTATAATAATGCCACGACATATAATTAGTACCATGCACATCCTGATTAAATAAAAAAAAGGGGTGCCTAGGTAAGAGAAACAGACTGTACAAAAGTTTGGGGGTCCCAGAAGGCAAGATGTGCTTGGAGCATAGTGAAAGCAATTTGCTGTGGCCCTGGTGAGGGATGTTACTCTGGCACAGGCCAGATCCTGAATGCCAGACTGAGGATCTCAGACTTTCTCTCACTTTCTCTCTCTTTTTTTCAGTAGGCTTCACACCAAGTGTGGAACCCAACATGGGGCTTGAACTCATAACCCTGAGATCAAGACCTGAGCTGAGATCAAGAGCTGGTCTCTTAACCAACTGAGCCACCCAGGCACTTACAGCCACACTCTCACATGTTGAGTCAACTCCAACATACTAGGAATAGAAGAACTCTGCTTTCCTTCTGCCTGTGCCCCTCTGTTTACCTCCTGAGCAGGTGGAGAGATAAACACATTTTTAGAGAATTTTAGAAGTTTCCTTTTTTCCTCTTGTTCTTTTCTCTGAAATGACAGGTCTCCACCACCAGGTGGGCAAAAACACCTTAGTGGGGCTGCTGTGTTCTTCTTAATGGGTCCAGTCTGTATTGAATTGGGAGAAAGAGAGTCATGTTTTACACTCAGCTATGCTTTAAAAAGTTTAACATTTTTAAGTGTGAGATATAATGTATAGATAGAAATGTACATAAGATTTATGCATGCAAATTAACAAATAGTTATAAAGTGAACACAGCTCAGCTCAAGAAATAGAATATTAACGGTATCCAGAAGCCCCTAACATTAATGATTCTCCTATTTTAAAGAACCAAAAACACATTGCTATCATAAGGAACGTTCTACTTGGTGTCCAAACAGCTGGGAATGGTTTGGTACATTTCTCACTCATGTTTAACTGTCCTAGTTACTGAATCTAAACAAGACTTGTATCCCAGACTTGAATAAAAATGCTTCTTTCCAATTTAGTCTACAATTTTTCTTAGTCAGGGCTCTCATTCATTCCCAACA